AGCTGGCTAATTCTGGGAGGTTTTCACCAAAGGAAGTGGCACTTTACTCCCCCTCTTTGCCCCATCCCCCAGATCCCTGGGGCTCCCCCTGGGCCAGGGAAGCAGGACCAACTGTCAGTGGGGGAAGGGGGGCTCCGAGGGGGCAGTGAGACCATGTGGGGGCCTGGGGGAGGGAAGGCAGGACATTACCCTGATTCAAAGCCCCCAGCCCCCAGTTACTCTCCAATATTGGAGTACTGTTCTGGTTTTTGTTAACCATTCACGCCCCAGAAAGGGACCAAAGTTGGTGAGGTGGGGAGGGTGCAAACAAAAGCTGGGAGCCCTCTTCTGCTGCTGCCTCATCTGAGCACTGCTCCTATCCCTGCCTTCAGCTGCCCCAGGTCCAGGGGGAGTCAGACAGACAGACAGACAGACAGACAGACACACACACACACACACACATAGACGCACACGCACACAGGCACACACGCTCTCTGAGTCAGGCAGCTCCATCTTCCCACCCTCCGCACTCCTAAATCCAATAGTGCAAACAAGGGGCAGGGCACCAAGAGGGTTGGGCCTCGCCCCCCCTGCCCTCCCCCATCCCATCACCGTCACGGGGGGGGAGGGGGGACTCCCGAGAGGTGGGGAGGCATGGGCTTAGTTTGGTGCCGTCCTGCCCCTTCCTCAGCTCCCTCATCTGTGGGCTTTTACAAGCTCAGCTTGTAACCCTCATTAGGGGGCAGGGGCAGGGGACCGGGGAGACACAGTCCAAGGGATCTCTTCTGCCATCTGCCCAAGTTGGGAAGAAACCGCAGGTAAAGCAGGGCCACCCCTTCTTTTGTAAGAGATTTCCGCGCACGGGCAGGCCCAGGGCCCGTCCCCCCACCTCTCCCCACTCAAGTGCTGATCCATTTTATGTGGGGGGTCCAACCAACCCCCCACTTATGCCATGGCCCATGTGGCTCTTGGAGGACCTCAAAACATTGCTGAGAGTCGGGGCTCCTAGGTGGGCTTGAAGCCTGTCCTCCCTCTGAGCCCCTCACAAAGGGGTCAGTGCGGAGGGAGAGGGGCCAATGGAAGGGGCATCCCTCTCCGGCTCAGTCCTCGGCACCAGGAGCACCCACACTCCCTGGGCCTCAGCACACCATCTGGGCTGGGGCTCTCCAGTGTCTGGGTGCAGGTGCCTGCTCCAGGCTAGGTAGGACCCCTCAGGCCAAGATCTGCCCCCTCCATCTGGGGGTCAGGAGGGGCTGGGTGGATTTAGCCTTTTTCCTGGTTGGCTGAGGTTCCTTTGTCAGCGGTCTGGAAAGAGAGGAAGGGAGGCTGGGGGTTTAGGAGGTGTCTGGTTCTAACACCCGGTGGAGAACAGGTGCCTGGGTAAGGCCACTGCTGTAGGACACAGTGAGGGAGCCCAGCTGAAGCCCCTGCCCTGGGCTCTTGGGCTAAGGCAAGTGTTTGTGTGTGGGTGTTGGGGGGAGGGGAGGGCAAGGTGCCCTGCACAAGGGCACCCAGCTGAGCAAGGCCAGCACCCTGGGCTCTGACAATATGCCCTCAGAGGAAGCAGGGAGGGCCTTTCTCCAAAGGGCCCACCCAGAGCATCCTCTTTTTCTAACTGGTCCACTCAGAGAGGAAACGGACTTTTCTAATTGGTCTCCCCGGAGGAACGCCATTTTCTAACTGGTCCTTTTGCTATAAGCCCACGCTCGGAGTCCGTCCGTGGCGGAGCCAGCAGAGGCCCTGGGGCCTGGAGCGGGGCGCCTTGCTGACCTAGGGGTGGCTTCCGTCCTCCTTCTCATGCTCCACCTCTGCCCATCCCGGAGAAGGTGAGGGCGGCCAGGCCGGCCCGGGGGCCCCCTACTCACCCCTCCTTTGGGGCCACTGCCGTCCGCCCCCGCCAGGCTGAGGAAGGGGTTGGTCTGGGCCGTGAGGACTGGAGGGCCGCCTGCTGCTGCCACTGCTGCGGCTGCGGCCGCCGCGGCCATGAGACTCGGGTTGTTGCCGAGCGAGGGAGCCACCAGGGCCCCGGCGGGCAGCAGGGCGGGGGCGGACGCGGCGGGCAGCAGGCCGGGG